TTATGCTACCAAAGATTTTGACAAATACCTTGGTTAATGGTATCTTTTAATATGGATTAAAGTATACATATGGCATATTCAATGAGTAAATGTTGGACTAACATACCTTTCCTATCCCTACCAGTTGTAAGGACGTGGCCAGGACAATCCTTAAGTCAAGAGCAAATTTTCATTACGTCGAATGTAACAAAGGTAAACAAAGTCGAGCTATCAGTGTCAATCGATTCTCCTGCTATTACACTATATACTGTCCGAATAAAAGGATCAAATCCCATTTTTAAATTTATTTACCAGTCAAATTGCTTTTTGACGTAATCACCTTCCGATCAAAATAGTTTTCGATGTTACTTAAGTCACCCAATTTCTATGGAGATGCCGTTTGACTTAAGTAACAGCGCTGAGAAACCCGTGAAAAGTGTACGTTCGTCGTTTCGCTTTCTCATTATTAAAGTGAATAAATCGAACTGTTTGTTGCTAAGATGATTTCGGTGGTCCTAAAATGATGAATGGGCTGCACGTAAGGAGACGTAATTGATAATTCTCCCGAATATCCTGGTAAATACACTTTGACTTAAGTAACAATAGGGGCCACCAAACGACGTATAATAACTTTTGACTCAAAAACCAGTATTTTTTAGCATGAAAGCTAGCGATTTGCATTTGTATGATTAAAACCCTGCTAAATATGTTAAACATTGCTATCACTATGAGATTATATGTGTTTACTTGGAAATAGGAATAACTTTTCGGTCATCAAAACAAAACTTTATTTTTCTCGGATTGGTGCGAATGTTACTTACGACATAATGAAAATTTGCTCTTGAAGTGTTGGAGCGGGATATGTCTTCATCTGGGAGATAGTAATGTTTCCCTACTTACTATCTGTCCAGCAGAGCTTAAAATTATTGACTGCCTACCCTAATAAACGGGTACCATATACTGACGATATCTTAGATGGTGTGACCATACCACATAAAGTTGGGATGATATCTCGAATTAGTGGTTAGGTGCATCTTATGGTTATTGTTTATGCGGGTAGGCTGAGTGTGAAAGCACTGCACTATTCAATCCATTGCTCTGTGCAGACCGTTTGTACCAAACGGTAAAGGACGAGGCAATGAAAGATCCAACAAAAACATTCAGTCACTCACGAGCAGGCGACGCACACCGCTTGCCTTCGCTCACACAGCATGTAATTGAGTCATTTTTCCATAGAAAATGTACGCTCAGTCATTCAAAACAAATATTGGGTACCATCACGGCAGAATTAACTATAGTCGCTATATTCATAGTCTGGCGGATAGAATTGCGATCTATCAAAAAGCGGAACCAATTCAATATATTTTAGACCAACAATTTAAAAGGTACTATCAACTTTTATAAACATAACGTTGATTATTCTTTCCTCGCCAATCGAACGCAAATTACCGGCATCATCGGATAGGGTAAACTTCCCTCAACCCAAAGATGGTGTTAGTTTGCGTAGGCGAGCCTTGAGTCACCTGAAAAGGGTTTCCGAAGTTTTATTCGCAATAGCTAATGTGCTCTTTTCTGTTGTTGGTCGTGATTTGCTCAATTGGTTCCACTATTTGACAGCTCAATTGGTTCCCGAGATTCTATCCGCCAGACTATGAATATAGCGACTATACTTGTGTCTGTCTCCTTTTGACGTTCATACACGGTTAGAAAAAAGTACCCAAAAGTAAGTTCTTTTCACTCATCTCGGCACTATAGTGCAGGAACCCAAAAGTAGGTAAAGCGGGTCAAAGTAGTTTTCATTTACTTGTGTGCAATTCGTATGGAATTTTCCACTAGCTTTCAACGCAAAAGTAAGTTAGTTGTACCCAACAGTAGGTAAATATGATTATACTCAACGTTGGGTTCCCACACTTTACTACCCCTGTTGGGTGGTTTTGCTCCTCCGTTTTTGACAACATTAGAAGGAGAAAAGGAGACAAACTAGTCAAAAGTAGGTAAAAGTGAACTGGCCGTTGGGTACTTTTTTCTTACCGTGTATGTTTCGAGTCTGGGTCTCCCGAGGGGTCTCCCTCCCAGGTTGCAACTATGTTTTGTTATGATCAATTGAGCTGAAATTTTGACATAGAACTACAAAATTTCCGAAGTGTTAAAATACAGTTAAAACAAAGTTAAATTTTCAACCATATTGTCAATAAACGACGGCGTTCTTAAGAAAGTCATTTACGATATGGATAAAAATTTCCGAAATAATAGACTTCGGAAATTTCGAATTATAAATGTGCTAATTAGTTGGTCATTTTCAGCCAGCCCGTCAATTTCCGGCAAGCGCTTCCAATAATTTGATATTACGTATACGCATTATTCAGCATATTTGTAGTCCTGTGCCAAAATTTCAGCACCATTTCAGCTCAATTGATGATTGCAAAACATAGTTGCCACATGCCAAAGTTGGCTAGTTTGTATGAAAATCGGCCACCACTGTATGTATCGTGTGCTACTACATCTTAACCTTTTATTCAGAGTTGATAATGATAATAGAAAAGTTACGCAGAGTGAAGCTTGCAACACTGCACGGTAAAAAGTTGTCACATCTAATCCAAATGCTCTTGTACTTGACTTAGTCTGTCATGCGGCACTACGAATCGAAGTGATTTATCATTGATTTTCAAGTGATTTGCGTTTAGAGACAAAGTGATTTGTCGTTGAAAAATATGTACTGTATAAGTGTATAACACCTTTAAATTAAAATAATTATCATTTGAATTGGCACCACTGTTTTCATCCATTGAATTTGATTAGGTTTGCTTTTGGAAGCAAATGTCAAAAACGCACATGCCAAACATTACTCGCAAAAATGGCAAGTCAACAACAAATGAAGTCAAGTGAGAGTAGCGATAATTCTTCATTTCCACCCGAAATAATTTGCATTCTAGAGCTTATTATGAAATTGATCTTCTTCTTCTTCTTCTTCGCATTTCAAGCTTATTGCATATCGCATATCCAGAACAACATGTGAAAAGGGCATACAAGCTTTTTGTAAACAAACCTTCTTATGCTCTTTTCTCGTCACCCATATGACACCAACGCAAACCTTCAACATCACCGGGTAGGGGACACTTTCCCCTTCCCGATGATATTGCTGGTTTGCGTGGGCGACCCTCGGTTGGTGAGAAAAGGGCCTACAAAGGTTTGTTTACAAAAAGCTTGTATGCCCTTTTCACATGTTGTTCTGGATATTAGTTTATTGCGTGCTCTCAACTTAGTGTTCTAGATGCACTTCCACAGTTATTCATTGAGAGCTTTCGATACCTGTACCATTTTTACATTGGTATAATTGTGTGGCAAAGTCCAATCATACTTCTATATGCCCAGGGAAGTCGAGAAAATTTCCAACCCGAAAAATTCTCGGGTTTTCCCGGGGAGAATTGAACCCAGCCCCTCCAGCATGGTCTTGCTCTGTAGCTGCGCCTTTACCGACTGAGCTAAGGGATGGTTGAAATTGATGCTATATTCAATAAAAGTGTATAATAGAACTTCTATTACAAAACATTGTCAAACTTATCAATGTCTCGTCTTGCTTCTACTACAAGCCTTGCAATGCTGTTCAATATCACTTGGAAACATGTGATCTGGGTAGTAGTATGATACATGTTCTATGGCCATATTCTGAATGACATATAACAAGGCTTGCAGTATGAACAAGGCAATATATTTATTTAAACCCATTTCCAGCTAACATGAAATCCTAGGATAAATTAGTTAAACTTAAAGTGATAGATTTTTAATATCAGTATGGTTGACATTTCGAGTTCAAAGCACAGCACATCAACAACGACGTGCAATACAATCTAAAATGAAGTGATTTGCTGCTGATTTCATCGTGCTTCGATATGATCTCTTCCAAGGGATCTGCACATCGAATTGTAATGTTTGGCAAGTAGTGCAAAATCAACAGCAAATCACTTTACATGAACATGATTTTTTTACCGTGTAGTCATCCTAACCCCTACACTCAACAAATTCCAGACGTTTGATCGAAGTGTTTAAACGGTTTAAACACTTGATTTTTTAAATGCACAATCACATTTACTTTAAGTGTATTTCACCTTGGTTCAATGTGTTATACACGTTAATTTATAGTGTTTTAAACTTTGAAATGTTGAAAATCTTTCACTATCTATTCAAGTGTACTGCACATTGAATCACACTACTGTTGAAAACAGCTGGATTTAAAGTGTTTTGCATTTCAATGCGATGTGAATTGCTTGCTCAGAAAGGTAAACATCGAAAATAAGAGTTGTAACTTTATCCTACAACCGTGGCACAGTGAGATCGAGTGAAGACTTCGGCAGCAGCACACCCCAACAGTCCATGATCGAATCCCAAATCAGACCCATTGAAAAGATATGTGAAAGCTCTGGCCTCTGGAAGTTTTGTTTTTTTAATATTTATAAATTCATTTTTAGAGTCGATAAAGTAGAATATTGTAGAATATTAAAACAAAGCTATTGATATCACCATATGAGGCACATGGAATCCAAGTGTGTCACATCACAATTCAAATCCATAGTGTTCGGGCATGATTCATAGCATAAGATTCACACATCAAAAGGATGTGTTTCACAATAACCGCAAAATTAAGTGTGAGACACATGATGATGACGTGTGGAATTTTTTGAGTATATATCCACCACATTGATGTGAACTACGACGAAAGTCTTGATTGCAGCCCCCGTGGGAAGTACATAAATAAATACTTTGACCAATAACTTGCTACCTCGGCAAGAGCATGCTTGTCCATTTTCACTGTATTTTCCTCATGATTCTGTTTCTTCAGTTACCCCTCGTGCACGTGTGCCTCCGAATCACACCATATCCCACACGCAACGTTTGTGCTTTATTCGCATCCCTCTGCCAGGACCAGTACGTATCAAATGTGCTTCCATTTCCGCTTTTCCCAAATGGGCAACAATTCAAACAATGATTACATTTTGTTCTTATATCGTTATCTTTTCGTCTAGGTGCCCATCAGGAAATCTCCGCCGAAGAACTGCGCACCCGGCTGCAGGAGTACGACGATCTCAACGCTCGCATCAGCGACGAACTCTCCAGAACGGCTGGCGGCGGTGGTGGTGGTGGTGGCGCCGGCAGTGGGTTGGTGCTAAAAACGCACTACGTACAAATAACTCCCCGACAGTCGCAGGATTCCAGCGGCGGTGGCGGCTCGGATGAGGCCTGTGCGCATATTGTGCCGTCGGAGGAAATGGATCCCGGCGTGGACGTGGAGAATGATACCGTATTCTATCAGCAGAGTGCGGCAGCGGCGACGGCAGGTGCCGTGGTGACGGCCACCGCCTGCAGTTCGATGATCTTTAGGGAGACGACCGTTTAAGAAGGAGGGGTGTTTCGTTAACAACTAGTCCAATTATGCCATAGGTTTTGTTCGCAGATACAGGTATTCCTGGTCGATGGAATGAGTTTTAGTCAGCGACCTTTGATTTTATTTATATTACCACCGGAGCGAGGCGAAACAATTGCTGAATGAATCTAGTTTATCTTTAGAAAGTTTGTTATAGTTTGAACGAGTCAATTTCCATACTTTTTTTTTGCATAGAAAAGTGCATTTCTATCTAAGATATGTAAAGGCCAAACAGATGTAATGAATATTTAAAAAAAAAGTACATAATAATACCGCATCGGGACAGTGTGCTGAAGAAAGGGGAAGTACCTATATTAGTAGTGCAGTGGTTGGTAGTTGGCAGTTTGTGTTATCGTTCGGATATAGCCATCAACGCTTCCGACACTTTTGTCCAAAATCATTCAAAAGCTCTTCTGTGTCAACTATTGTTTCCATTTCCCGATCATTTTCTGGCTACCCGAGAGTCGAGAAATAGCTGAAAGCTCTTTACGTGAATCGGGAAATATTTTTATCCAGTGACCAAAATAATGTTTGATAGTTATTCATTAGAATAAGAACTTCTGCCGGTCGACTTACATACCATACTAATCGGGCTATGGCCTTGATGTCCACTACGATCCGAAGCGGGAGATCAACGTTTTTTTCCTGACGCTTCTTCCGTTGGACTCGGAGTGACAGGTTCCCCGACTGCACCATCAAGTTCGTTCCACACGTATCCAGGACACTCACGAAGGCAGAGCATGATCTTCGTCATCGTGAAATTTCTCAAGCTGCTCTTCGGGCGGCACTTCCGGCTGCAGAACGATCATCGCCCTTCAGATACAAGAAGGGAATTCCAGTCTACACTACAAGTCGACTCTACGGTCTCGATATCGAGTACGTGTCCACCAACAAGAGACCTGCTCTCGCGATTAATCAACCAGCACGTCCAACCTGAAGAGAGCTACGTTATAGCGAGTCTCAACCTGGAAGAGGATCTCAGGCCAGTTGTATCTAAAAGAGTTAAAGTTCAAAGCCTTCGCGCAAAGCACCCAAGTAGATCCGCTCCTCCGGCAAGTCCACCGCTACGTTTAAAACAGCTGGGTGGACCGGTGCCGCGAACAACTCCATCGCGGTCATCCAGGCATGCAAGCAATGAAGGCCATCACAAGACGCTACGTGTTCTGGTCCAGCTTGGATGCCGACAGCGTCAGTTTCTGCATGTCAAAACGTCCGTAGCTAGATCTCCTCTTCACTCTCCACGTGGCCCAAATCAACCGTCCAGTCCAAGGCGAATACTACCTGCTCACTATCGACTAAATCTCCAAGTGGCTTGAGATCATCCGAACGACCCGCATAACGTCTGCTGTAACCATCAGCAATGGTCAGGCGGAACGATTCGTGGATATCTTCAAGCGAGCCGTTGAGAAAATACGAGAGGGGAGAGGATCGATTCAAGAAGCACTGGATATTTCCATGGTCGAAACGGTTGGAAGTGGGTTCCTGTTCCGCCGACAGTTTTTCAGCAAATAGTTCCTGTTTTCCATATAACGCGAAAACAGTAGACTGTGGAATGTTGACGTCTAAGAATTTGTTTGTTCTGTTAAGATGAACAACTTTGTGTGTCAAGTCTCCAGAGTGTTAGAATAGAAAGTTAGATTTTAGCGGTTGAGTATCAAACTATCTGTCAATGTCGCCCCGTAACGTGGGTAGATCACCTTTTCGTGGTACGTTACGGGATGTAAGATCTACCACCGATTCCAAGTCCTGACTACTTCAAACTAGGGGAACGGGATTTTCAGTAATCAAAGTAACACATCTTAGTCCTTGTTACTTTTTATGCCTTGTTGATAGTGACAAGACTCGGCTTTGTCCACCGAGGATGATCTTGAAGCAAGGAAAAATTAGTTAGTTAGTCTTCATCTATGTGATTCCTAATCTTCTATTCGTTGTTCTCTAGTTTGAAGTGGTTAAGACTAGGGTTCTGATGCAAGATCATTATCGGTGTCATTCCTTAATTTGGTTGCTAAGGAATCCAATTTTGACTGACAAAGGGGCGCGCCTTTGGAGGGTGTTTCAACAGTCCGAAGGGTATAAATAGCGGGACCTTTCAATTAGAGTCTGATCTTTGCGATAAAGGCAAAAATTGTCGGAGGTACGGGAAGGAAATCGGACTGGACTTTAATGAATTGACTACGATTACCGTCTTTATTAGTCGGTAGTTGAATATAAACTGAAAAACTGAAATATTTCTTCTCTTCGCATGGTTGCTTTGATCGATAGTAGAAGTGTTGCTAGAAACATTGGATTTGCTCTACACTCCTCCTCAACACTGCTACTGTAGACCACACTTCTTCCGAAGAACCTCCAATCGTACGCGTGATAGAGGCTTTGTCAGGAGATCCGCGGCCATCGCTTCCGTAGGACAGTACACGTACTTGATGACACCTTTCGTCTTCAAATCCTTGGAGTAATGGAATTTTATCGAAATATGCTTGGTACGATTACTAAACTTCTCGGAATCGAGCATCTTTAGGCAGCTTTGGTTGTCCTCGAATAATGTAATTGTTTCTGCTTTCTCACCTAGGTCCCCCAGCAATCGTTTCAACCAGACTGCTCCCTGGGATGCTTCCGAAAGGAATACAAATTCTGCCTCCGCTGTGGATATTGATACACAAGATTGTTTTCGACACGCCCACGAAAGTGTGCCTCCACAATACTGGAATACGTAACCACTGTTGGACTTGCGATCGGTGCGACATTCAGCCCATTCAGCATCAGCGTAACCAGTTGGTCCAGATCGATCATTGTTACTGCTCAGCCTTAACTTCAGGCCAATTGTCCCCTTTGGGTAGCGAACCATTCGCTTCAGCTCGTTCCAGTCTCGTCGGGTCGGACAACTCACCTTGCGACTCAAGATCGAGATTGCCGCCGCAATGTCTGACCTACTATTGACGGCAATGTACAACAGCTGCTCTACTACCTTTTGGTACTGTTGGTTGTTAGGTAGTAGGTCGTCGCCGTCGTCTGTCTTATCATATCCAACGTCCAAGGGAATGGCTGATACTTTAGCATCTTGAAGACCGACGGAATCAACTACTTCCTCGATGTACTTCCGCTGACTGATGTGAAAATCTCCGCCTTGGTCCCGTTCTACTTCGATACCCACGTAAAACCTGACGTCACCGAGGCTGCTGACTTCGAAATTGCTCTTGAGAGTTCGCTCCAATGCGATAACCATCCGCTCGTCCTCGCTCGCTACGATAAGGTCGTCTCCACGTAAACAAGAACGTAACACCACTTTCCGTCAATCCGCTTTCGATAAAGACAGCGATCTGCCTCACACCGTTGCAATCCATTTTCAACTAACACTTTGTTGAGCCGCTGGTTCCACGAACGGGCAGCTTGCTTAAGACCGTACAAGCTTTTCTTTAAACGGCACACCTTGCTTTCCATACCACTGACGGCGATCCCGGGAGGCTGCCTCATAAAGATCTCCTCCTCAAGGTTACCGTAGAGAAATGCCGTTTTTACGTCACATTGAGCCACTAACCTGGCCTTGTAGCGTACGACATTGCCTTCTTCGTTACGTTTATACTTATATACCCATTTGCAACCGATGGTACGGCCTCCCGCCGGCAAGTTGACCAAGTCCCACGTGTCATTTGCTTCAATGGACTCGAGCTCTTCCACCATAGCTTTATGCCACTGCACGCGGTGTGAGCTGGAAAATGCTTGCTTCAACGTTTTCGGCTCCTCCTGAATCGAAATTTCCGCCGTGCATGCATACCTTTTCGGAATCGTACCAATATTCGTTCTTGTCGATCGTTATGGCGTGCTCTCTTCGTCACAGGGTTCATCAGACGAATGTTCGATTTTTACTTCATCAGAGCCCTCTGGCAAGCGCTCGTCATCCGGGTCATCGCGACAATCGTCGTAGTCCTGGTCATCACCATCGTCCGAATTACCATTGTCTGCGTCGCTCTCGACTTCCTCATCCGGCACCTCAGGCTCCACCAATTTGTAGCCGATCGATGGATAAACGAAATCTTCCACTGCTGACCCTGACTCGGGCCTGTAAGTAGCTAGAAATTTTACATCACGGCTTATAGTTACCTTTCCCTTTGCTATGTCCATCAACCGGACACTTCGCTGTATCCGACAAACTTGAGCCTAATTGCCTTCCGGTCCAGCTTACCACGCTTCTCACATGGTACATGACAGTAGGCGTCCACACCGAACCGCTGAATGTGTCCGAGATTTGGCTTCTTCCCGAACCACCGATGGACTTCGACGGCAGTCTGTTTTGCATATAGTTCGCCGTCACTACTGCAACCAGGTACCGATTTTTCCGTTCGGCTATCCCATTTTGCTGTGGGGTGTACGGTGCCGTGAACTGGTCAATAATCCCGTTTCGCTTCAGGAACGCTTGCACTTTCTTGCCGGCGTACTCACCTCCACGATCAGACCGCAGAATTTTAGGCTTCTTTCCGAATTGGTTCTTTGCCAGCTCGACATACTCCTCCAGTTTCTGCATTGCTTCGGACTTCGCACGCAGCAAATAGATGACAGTGTACTTGCTGCAGTCATCAATAAACGTGATGAAAAAACCGCCTTCCAGCAAAGGTCTTCGTACGCATTGGTCCGCAAATGTCAGTATGAACCAGATCCATAACACCGGATGATTCGCTTTCTGACACTTTTGGGAACGGTTTCCTGTGCATTTTTCCTTGGATGCACACTTCGCATTCTTCAGTGCAATAACAGCTTTTCACCTTCACTCCTTGAGCCAAATTTGGCAATTTCGCGATAGCAGCACAGTCTCTGTGGCCCAATCGTCTATGCCACACATGCACGCACTCGTTGCTCGTTGTTGCCATTGATACGCTTTCGTTCGTTTGACGCAGCTTGAACAAATTTCCAACGAGTTCCGCCACAGCGCACACTTTTTCGCCTTTCGAAATCTTGGCACCACTTGCATCGAATGTGACGACAAATCCCTTTTGCACCAGCCGCTTCACCGACAGCAAATTGGACTTCATCTCTGGAACGTATAAAGCACACTCTATCGGCACTTCACGGCGTCTTCCAGCTCTATCGAGAAGTCCGATTCGACCAGTTCCACGAACCTTCGAACGCGCTTTCATTCCGTTTGCGACCCAAACGTCCTCCGTAATCCCCTCTTCCAGATTATCGAAAAAATTCCGGTAATTGGCAATGTGGCAAGTCGCTCCGGAATCCAAAATCCACTGTTTTTTCCGCTTCACTGTTACAACCCGTGAGGAACACATAGTTGTCATCATCTTCGTCACTCTGTTTTACGTGGTTCGCTTTGTGTTGCTTGGCTATCGCTTTGTTTCCTTTCTTCACTTTCCATGCTTTGAATTTTTCACAGGTCGCTTTCTGGTGACCCAATTTCTTGCAGAAAAAACACTTGCCTGGTCCGACTTTGGAATCCACATAGTGAGCACCTTCGAAATCATCATCGCTTTCGTTCCGCTGCTTTTTCTTCTGCCACTCGCTTCCCTTTCACCATATTCAGCGTCAAATCCTCCTCCGGTCTAGCTTCGAGAGCAGTTACCAGCGTCTCATACTCTTCGGGTAGGCTACTGAACAAAATGGCTACCAGCCACTGATCGTCGAGAATCTTCTCCGGCTGCAAAGTGTTCAGCTTATCAAATTATTCAGCCATTTTCGATACGTGCGCTTCCATGTTCCCGTGCTTCTCCAGACGTAAACTGCAAATTTTCCGCATCACCGATACCTTCGTCGTCAACGTCTTCTTCACGTGGAAGTTGTCAAGAGCCTTCCACGCAGCAGATGCCGATTCGGCCTTCCTTATGTGGATTAACTGATTATCATCCACGGCCAATCCGATCGATGCCAGCGCTTGCTCGTCCTTGGTCTTCCAGGCATCCGTCACTGGTTCCGGTTTCACTCCTACAACAGCCGTCCAGTTGCCTTACTTTGTCAGGAGTAGCTTCATTCTGAAACTCCAATTGTCGTAGTTGGAGCTATTAAGCTTCGGAAACGACACCAGCCTATCCGCCATCTCGATTTTTTTTACGATGCTATCTTTTCTTCACCAGTTCCGATTCGATTGTCTGGGAGGTACGGGAAGGAAATCGGACTGGACTTTATTGAATTGACTACGATTACAAGAATAACGTCTTTATTAGTCGGTAGTTGAATATAAACTGAAAAACTGAAACAATTTCTTCTCTTCGCATTGACGAGTGCACGGATGGATTTGAGTTCACTCACTCGACAAAAAGTGACACAACAGCGGGGCCCTGTTTACTAAAAATGAACATATATGTGTTCATTTTTAGTAAACAGGGCCCCGCTGTTGTGTCACTTTTTGTCGAGTGAGTGAACTCAAATCCATCCGTGCACTCGTCAATGGTTGCTTTGATCGATAGTAGAAGTGTTGCTAGAAACGTTGGATTTGCGCTACAAGAATGACAACTGTAAAGCCAAAACTGGTCATGCGACACCTAGTTTTAAGGTCCGCAATTACAAAAATGATGATGTACTAAAAAAAATGTCATGCTTTTTGACAGATATTAAAACGTCATTACCATTTTCACCTACTCGCCATCTGTGAGTCAAACGTCACTTTGATTCTTAAATAGAGATAGTCATAATTATTGCGAGAAACTTTGGTGAAGACAGCAAGTCACGGAAATGCACCGTTTCGGAGCTATTAATTATGTCTCGACAGATTGCATTGCTGGCCCATATAGTGCGCTGAATCCTTGCAAATCAGTTGTTACTTGTTATCGAAACGAAACTTTAGTGTCCTTC